TGGCTGTCAATCTCTCTGCTAGGTCCAGAGGAGACCATTCCCACCAAGGCATGAAACTTGAGCCAACATGGCTAAGCTGCATCCACCTCCATAACCAACAGGGCACAAGGAACTGAAGAGCTCATCTTTTGGTCCCCTCTGACCTCCCCTGACCTCCCAAGCACTCCTCATTTGCAAGAAGAACAAACAGGACCAGCCTTCAGCACATGCTCTGAGTGAACCTCAGACTCATCTTGGATTTGTGGTTGTTTTTCCCACGAAGCCCTCCCAGCTCTGCCAAACAAGCTGTTTCCTCACACCACCAGCTCACCAAAAAATAAATCAAAACTGCAAGAGAACTGGCTCACACCTGGTACAGACATCATGTGTTTGGTTTGTGGCTGTTCTTTTCTCAGGTTTCTACACTGCCAGAAACAGATACCCAGATAGATCTCCATGGGTTGACACCTCTCACTTTTCTCCTTTAATTCACGGGCAGCAAAGTGCCAGAAAGAACAAGAGTGAACTTGCCCTCAGCTGAGCAAAGGAAATCCGAAAATCTGCAGCTTCTGCCATACAAGCTTGTAGTGACAAGTTGCTGGGTTTCCAGCTCAAGGAAGCAGCTTATGGGAGCAGACACGTTGCTGCCAGCAGCTCTCAGCCCCTCAGCTTGATTCCTCTGCTCTTGGGCTGGTCACACATTCTGAGAAAAGGTGAATTAAACCATTTTTTAACCCATGTCACCATTTAGAAATGCTGCTGAACAGCATCTGCAGGGATGCCAGTACACACAGGGGTAAGAAGGGGAGCAGCCAGCAGGGAGATGGTGCCTGCAACAGGCACTTGCTCTGGCAGCTGCCAGCACTGAACTGACAGGATTGCTCCTGCACCATATTCACACACTCCAGTCCTCCCCACTGAATGCACCCCTTGTGCTCACCAGCACAACAACCTAGGAAACAGCAAACTGTCTCTGAGTAAAAAGAAATAGCTAAAGTTAAGAAAAATATAAAATACAGGGGAAAAAAAGGACCTCTCATTTACTTCATGTAAATCTTACTTCCTGCAAAGGAACCTCCAGAAATGGGAACCTCCAGGTTTTCAGCCCCAAGGTTGATGTAGCTTACACACAACTAGCTGCTTTACCCCTTCTGCCTAGATCTGTCTGCCCAAGGAAGGGGGATAATTAGCTGTGCCTTGCTACACAGCAGTGGTGTGAGACTTAATTAGGCAGAACACTTTGAAGGTATGGTATCTAATTAATGTCTGAAGTGGCTACAGTGATTATTATGAACAATAGCACAGCTCACAGCTGATGATCCAGCTCAGCTCATCAGTATTTTTCATTCTCAAAAGTGCTGTGCAAACAGACAGCCAATACTCCACATCAGAAACCTCCACAGTAGTGGGTGGTTATCAAGCTCGTTTTATGGATGGAAAAACTGAGGCAAGGTCTGAGGGAGCCCAACAAACCACAGAGCATGGGAACTCCTCACTTGCTGCTGGGATGGAACAGGGCAGCAGGCTGACAGTCCCATGGAGTGTCCTGCAGCATCCTGGGCCTGTCTGGAAATGCTCAGCTGTGTGTGCTCTGTGCAGGTGTCAGATTCAGCAAGCTCCTGTAAGCAACCACAGTGTTAGAGCTTAAAGGCCAGGAAAGAACAAGCAGAAATTCTTAACTAACCCTCCACACACACAAATAACGTGGCTCATAATGAGTGAGCCGGGGTGGCTACAGGACCTGCCCACCAGCACAGCCCAAGGCTCCCAGCAGAGCAGGGGGAGCACAGGCCCCCCTTGGCTTAGCAGCAGCAACCACCACCAGGCTGGCCTGATCCTTGGACCATGGAAGAGATGAGCCAGCAGTACTTCCAACACAGAGGCCTCTGTGCCTTCCCTTAGCCTGGGTGCCCCAAGCTCTTTGAGGGTAATCACCCTCACACAGCAAGGGGCATCTCCATTCCTCCAGCTGCACAGTGAGCAATTACCAACCAGCTTCACAAAGTGCTCTCAGCAAAGGGGAACAGAAGTGCTGGTTTTAACCCTCACCTTTACTTTTCTCCTGTCCTGTCTTCAGGAGACCTGGGAACACATTTTAGCCCCATTGCAAAATGCAGTAAGACTGTGAAAAAAAAGTAATTCTCCAGAGCCTTACACAAGCACTGCAGCTGAGATCCACAGATCCTCTTCTACTGGTGTCATGGAGCTGGGTTCCCACCTGCCTCATCTCCCAGCAGCTCCCTGGGGAGCAGAAGCAGCAGGCTGAAAGGAAAAAGAAAGATAATTTTGGTTCTTTCTCCTGCCTGCTAAAGGACTGACTCCATTTTGAGCTCCCTAGTATCCCAAGAACTGCAGAGAGATTTGTGTTGACATTATTTTAAGCTGTATTTATGGCAATATCCAAAGGACAAGAAACAAGTCACACTGCTGTGCCAAAGCCTCACAGAGCTTTTGGAGCTCAGCCACTTCTGAAACAGTGGGACACGTTGATAGTACAGACTTGATAGTACAGACTTGAGAAAGAGATGAGAAGTCATCATGCTGTTACATACACACCAGGCCAGTTTGCAGGTCTGTACATGGCCAGCTTATAGAGGCTGGAAAAAAGCAAAAAAACCACCAACCCACAATCTTTCAACAAGCAGCACCCCCAAAAGATCCCCCAGGCAGATATGGAGCTGTCACTGGGTGCATAAGGAACATAAAATAGGGTTTCTCTGAAGGGGTAGGTCATTCTAGATGGCTGCAGGGAACATCTCCCATGTGTAACTCTGTGGGTTGTTTCCTTTCCTAGGAACTCACCATAAATTTCTTCACAGGCAATTGTGTAAATCCCCAGAGGAAAATGAAAGGCAAAAAATCCTGTTCACCCCTTTAAATCTGAGCACTCAACAGATAAGTCCAGGTCTGTTTTATAAATATTTCAAAGTTCAAAGAAAACAGCCAACGATATTGACACAACCCAAGAGAAACATTCCAAGGGGCAAGGCTGCAGGTTGCATGTTGCTCCAGTGCCACCAGCTGCACAGCACAGGCAAGAGCAGCTCAGCAGGGGGGAAGGGGGGACTGAGCTGCCTGGAGATGCTGGGTGAGCCAGCACCCCTGAGCCAGTGCAGATTACAGTGAATGGCAGATGAGGTGCTTAATTACCAAAGTGATAAATGCTAGATATTAATAAGCTGCAAGAGAGATGAGGCACTTGGGTGAACCCACAGGAAAATACATGAAAAATTGGTTCTCCCTTCACTCCCACTGAGATTAAAACCAGCCCAGATTTACAAGTATTTTTTAAGAAAATGAAGAACCATCACCACCAGGGAGGACACATCAGTCTGCAGCTGAGAAGGCAGAGGAGCTCTCAGGAGTCCTGCTGGGAGTCCTAAGGATTTTCTACTTGGCAGATCACTGAGGAACCCACATTTATGTGAAGCCTCCAAGCCTTTCTGTGACCTTGCTCAGTCCCTTCAATCTCATGTAAGGACACACAGGTTTTTGACAAGTCAACCCCTGCATCCCAGCAGCATTTCATCCAGAAGGCTGTGGCCAGCCAGCACACTCACAGCCTTCACTCCTCCAGCTGAGCTCACCCTGAAGGAAATCAAAGCCCTTGGCTTTCTTCCCTCCCTCCACTATCACTGCATAAGTAAATAAGAAGGAAGTCCCAGTAGGACAAAAAGCAAAGCACAATCCAAGTTTCTGTCCCTGCACGCAGGCTCACCAGGGCACCAGAACTGCTAGACAAGAGCACCTCCTGGAGGAGAATCCTCCTCTCCCTTCCTTCTTTTGAAAGGCACATTCCTGGGCTTCCTCTCACTTCACGGTAAGGAATCTAGAAATTCCTGAGTCATCAGAGCCATTACCTAGAAAGGTTGGACCAGATGATCCTTGAGGTCCCTTCCAACCTGACATTCTGTGATCAGTTATCCAGTTCTGTGTGTCACACTCTGCTCAGGGGAGGGTTTTAATCTGTTTAGACAACACAATGTGACTCCTACTTATTACCAAAGCTAACAAAACAACTATGTGTGGACTGAAGCTAGTAGGGATATTACAACAAGAAAATGACATTAAAATAAGATACTTTGCTGAAGTTTTCTTTCTTCTTAGATTTTACTGGGACACAAAAAACAACAAACAAACAATCCAGTGAAACTTGTAACACTTCAGCTATAGCCAAACTTACCTCCAAGCTTACCCAAGTCTCATCTGAGCCTGTAAATACAACAAAATCATAAACTCAGCTACCCAGGACTGCTTAGGTGTTGAAAACAGGGTGAAAAAAAGATTTTAAGTCCCAATACACTGTGTACAGTAACATTAAGTTGTTTTTATTTCAAGGATATTAAAAAAGCACTCACTCTGATATACCCATAAATAAACACAGAGCCTTTCACTCCCCAGAGAGCACAGCACTGCCAGCCCCCAGCCCAGCCCCCCAGCAGCACAGAACAGTTTGGGTTGGAGACCTTCAAAGGTCCATCCAGCCCAACTCCCCCTGAGTGTTTCCAGGGATGGGGTATTTAGCACCTCTCTGAGCATCCTCTGTTGACCAGACACCCTCTGCAATGATCCAGCTGATGGGTCCATCGCTGATAAACCAAGTTTATGTTTTCTCCAAGAGCATTTTTACTAAGAAAATATGACAAGAAGCAGAACAAACACTGTATCACATGGGTCCAAAAGAATTCCCCTTTCCTTGAAAAGCTTCAGGGACAAAAAAAGGCACATGCTCTCTTTTTCCAGGGAATGTTCTTGATACACACAGAAAGCACATACGTAGCAACTTTGCTTTCAAGAGCACTTTCTAGGAGCAGGGATCTCAGAATCCCCAAGGAAGGGTAAAACTGCCACTGCATTTTGCAGCTGGAAAGAAAAAAAATAGACCACACAGACATGACTTGCCTCAGACTCCCCAGGGAGGCCAAGGACTGGTCCCAGCAGGGATTTAGGTATTCCTAGATCTGCGTGTAAACAGCAAGCACCTCCTTGCCTAAGAGTTCATGAACATGAGAGGCCACTGGTCATCCCTGCTCCTGTTCTGAAGTCTCCCTGCCCTCGTGATTCGATCTAAAAAGCAAGAGGCTTCTGTCCCAGCTGGTGCTCCCAAAGCAAGACACCAGCTCCATGGCACAGTCCCTTGTTAGGATCTGGGTCACCCTCTCTGCCATGTCCCCGTTGATGGTGAGAGAGCGGAAGTGCTCGAAGTCGCTCCTGCCCAGGCGGCGCAGGCGCCGCGCGGCCGCTCGGTAGCACTTCCAGGGCTGGGGCTCCACCAGCAGGTACCGGCACAGGGAGGAGAGGAAGGACAGGAACTCCACCAGGCCACTGTCCCCGTGATTCAGGTGGATCCACATGGTCACAGACATGCAAAAACCGATGTCGAAGGCGGAGCGGCCGAAACGGCCCAGGTGGGAGCTCAGGAATGTCTCCCTGGCCCTGGGGTCCATGATGTCCAGGTTCGCGAAGGAGATGGAGGCAGGGAAGGGGCTGCACTGCTGAGCCCTCTGGATCAGCTCAGGGTCAATGTCACAGCACAGCAGGTTCAGCTCCTCTCCAGCTGCAGGCTGCTCCTGGCTGCCTTCGCCCTCCTGCAGGCCAAGGAGGTGCCTGTACAAAGCCACACTGAGCTCCTGCAGGGAGGAAAAGGAGAGGGGCTGGGGGGTCTGTGCTCCACCCCCAGCACACAGGATCCCCATCTCAGCCACAAGAGACAGGCTCTGAGCTTGAGGAGGATCAGAACAAGCTCACCAACAACCTTCCTTTCTGCAGCAAAAGCATCACAGCAGCCCTGACTATCAGACAGTCAACCACAGACTGGAACTAAACCTGTACCACCCCACTCGGGGTTTTTCTCCCAAAGCTGTGGGAAAGATTAATTTTAGTGGCAGAAATCCTGCTGGACACCCTCACCCAACGTGGGGGTGAAGATTTACTGGCTTCCCCAGGTGAGCCTCAGAGTTCCCTAGTGGCACTTTGGGCTATTTATAATGCCCAGTGATACATTTCTTCTTTTCTTGCTAAATTAAGACATTCCCTGGCCTGATTGTAGCACAAGACAGTCGACAGGAGAGCTCTCCTTCCAGTTTCCTCTCGCAGAGGGCGCCTCGTAGAGGAAAGTGCGTTAATCTTTCCTGAAAGGAGACACGATCTGCTGCCGCAGGGACGGGCAGGCAGTGTCCTCTAGTGGGGAACGTGCTCCTCAACACACCGCGACTGAGAACGTTTTTATCTGACCTGTTGCACAAGTTGACCTGAAACAGCAGCTAGAATTGTCCTTTCGATTATGCCTTAGGCGGCTTTTCAGACCTTCTGGCTGGGGGAGGAGAAGCCACAGGACAGCAGCACTCGGCCCCAGCCAGAGCACCATTTCACTCTGAGTTCATGGTTATGTCCAAGTTAACACATTGCTAACGTGCCCATCTGAAAAAAAAATTAATCTTTAAACATAACTGACTTAAACATTGCACCAGATGCTCAGACACTTGTGAATTACAACAGGGCAAAGCTGCACATGGAGGAAGAGCCACGGGAATAAAAGCAGCTCCAGGTAAAGAAAGAGAACGAACTTTCAAAATGGGAAACTCTAGCAGATTCACCAGCTCTGTCACAAGATCTTCCAGAGCACGTCACCAGGGTTTTGGTTTTCTGATGGATAAGTGATGTGACACTACACAACACACAACAAATCATGGTGTCTGGCTCCAGCCTGGGCAGCTCCCCTGCTCCCAGGGCAGTCCCAGAAGGGCTCCCTGGTGCCCAGGACACGCAGCAGTCCCGGACACTGCAGGTTCAGGCCTCAGTGGGAAAGAGGACAGAGCCACCAACATAGCCCTTTAAACCACTTCTCAGCAACACAACCAGCCCCACCCCACACCTGCCTTCACCCCAACCTCCACTTTGCTCTCTTTGTGGACAGAGCTTCCCACACACCAGTGATCTCCTGACACCCACCAGGCTCCTGCTGTTCCCAAGTCCTGCTTTTCCACTGTGGCTTTTCCATCCCTGTCCCAGGCTGCTACCCCTGCCCCAGCTGCTCCAGACTCTTTCATTCTGGCCCAGGTCAGTGCTCTTCCTCACTGCTCCCTGAGACTCCAGGCCACTGCCCCCAGCCAGTCTTCCCAGTTTGCTCCATTTCTCCCCAGCACCCCATGGCAGAGCTTCCCCAACCTTCCCAGTCTTTGATGCACCACTCAGGTCACTGCCTGCCCCAGCCTCGCACTCCATCCCAGTGCCCCAGGACTCCACACTGGAGCCCCCCCACCTTTCCCATCTGCCACGGTGTCCCCCAACACTCCCAGCTCTTGCCTCCCTCAGTCTCCTGTTTGCCTCTGATACATGATGGGATATTCGTTAGTAAATTCAATAGAAATACAGCCTAATAAAAGTTCACTAAAATAAGGAATTTGCTATACTAAGGGTTGCTTTTAAAGCAATGTGCTTTGTGAAACTATCAATCAACGATGCCAAGCATCCTGCAGGCTGTGATAACATCAAGTCTTCTAAGGACCTGTGGTGCCCACAGACACACTCATGTTGATTCTGACCCACCTGGGCAACCCACCAGTGGGAGACTGGAGACAGGACCAGGAGCAGAGACAGGACAAAGATGACAAAGGACTAGAATCAACAAAAGACCCCTACAGGAGACCCTCGAGCAGGCACAATTACAGAGAGTCAATTCCAGGAAATAAAATGACTATGTAAAAGAATTCTGGGAACTCATTGACATGGAACTGAATATGCCTGGTTTTGGTGCATATTCGTTGGGGTGTTTCACTAACTGGTCGGAGCACTCGTGGTGGAGAATCCCCAGGGCTGCAGTAAAGAGCCTGCTCAGTAACAGCTTGTTTGTTGTTATCGGGCCTTGACCTCGGAATCCTCCCCCAGCCCAGCCTCCCCCTGCGCTGAGGGGTGTCAGAAAGCAGGGGGGTTTGGAAGCTCCACAACTTCTGTTTCTCCTCACTGCCTCGGGTCCCTGCCTTTCCCTGCCTTCCCCACTCACCCCCGGGCCCCTCCTCAGCCTCCTCAGCCCCGGCCTCTCCACACAGACCGTCCCCAGCCCCACAG